TGTACACCCTAAGTCAAACTACCCTTCAACTATAATTAAGCATATACCCACATCAACAGAGAAAAGAATCAGCATGAACTCTGTTAATAAGGAAATATTCCAACAACATAGTAATTTTTATAACACAGCCCTAAAAAATAGCTAATATAAGTTATAGAAACAATAGCACTAACAGAAAGAAAAACAGGAAAAGAAAAATCATCTGGTATACCCCTCCGTTCAACCAAATGGTTAGTACTAAGCTAGGACATAAGTTCCTAGCTTTAATCAAAAAACACTTCCCTACTAAAAGCAGACTTAGTGAGATCTTTAAAAAAAACACCTTAAAATTAAGTTACTGAAAATCTAGAAAGAATCATAAAGAAACACAATAATAAAATCCTGGAAACACACGAGCACCAAAACAGTATTAATAAAAATCCTAAACTAAAATCAAACAAAATGAAAAATTATGTGATTGTAGAAACCCTGAAAACTACCCATTGAAAAATAAATGCCTCATAAAATCCATAGTATACGAATGCACTATCTCATCCATTGAGAGTCCTAACATCGATAGGATATACATTGGGTCAATGAAGAATGAATTTAAAATTAGGTGGAGGCAGCATAAAAGCTCCTTCAATAATATTAAAAGTAGAAATCAGACATCTCTATCCAAATATTTTTGGCATTTAAAAGAAATGAAAAAAACACCAAAATTAAAATGGAAAATAATAAATAGAACAAGAACTTAAAACCTGGGATGACCCATGCCCTTTATGCCGACATGAAAAACTACACATTATTAAGTTTCTAAATAATGAAAATTTATTAAACCATAGACATGAGTTAACGGTTTTTTTGCCAACATCAACAAAATTTCGCATTAAATAAAATTTATTAAACCATAGACATGAGTTAACAGCTTTTTGCTGACATCAACAAAATTTTGCATTAAATAATTAGCATTAAAAAAAAAAAGAAATCAAATTTCATAGAACAAAGGGCTAAAAAGCTTAACCCAGTCATTAAAGGGAAAAACCCTTTATGAAGTCATCAAAAAAACAAACTGTAGTTCAGTGTGATGCATTTATATATGAAACAGCCCATTGAAAATAAATAAATAAATAAACAAATAAAATAAACAAAATTATCCAGACACTTAGCAACATTTTATGGTGCCAAAATCTATCTTCCTCTGCGAATGAACAGATGATGCGTGTACAAGAAAGACATAATTCGCTTTGAAATAGACACCCCACCCTACCACAGCTTGACCTCTCCCTGAAGGTGACTGATATGTGGATAAAAATGGTCACCCCAGCTTTCCATAGTAACGAATGAACATGCTTATAATGATATGTAAATTTCAAAATGGGTTATTCCTAAATTTTCACTTGAGGATGAAACAGAGCTTGTTACTTTAACTCAATTTAATTTTAATAATTATATTGATGGTTTCGGCTCTTGTTTTTGAAACATGAGAACTCTTATGTAGCGAAAGAATCATGTTTTTTTAAAAATAATTATATATATATATATATATTTCACACCAAGCAAGGCAATAAAGGCCACTAGGATGCAAGGGAGAAGGAAAGAAACAGAGGACAAGAACACAGAAGATGATGAGTGACATTACATATAAATTTTTGAAGATTGTAGTTGACAGAAACACAGGAAGCTAGAAACAAGTTCCACTAGTGAGAAGTGCAGAAGAAGAAACTATTAGCCTATGCAGAAACTGTTATAGAATAGTTACATTTCATCACACTGAAGTTAATGCCTCTTAATATGACTCCTCTGATCCAGCCTATGGATCAGCAGGTCATTTCAAACTTTAAGAAACTCTACACCAAAGCACATTTTCAAATGATTTCTGTATAAACTTTTGTACAAAGTACTGTTGTAAAACTTTAAATAAGCAATCATCTGGAGTCCAGTAATGGATTAATCCATTTTGCATTAATTCCTCTCAGAAAAATAGTTTCAGTTTACGAAAATTTTAGGTCACAAATGGCCTTCAGGAATTAATTAAATTTGTGAACCAAGCTTCCACTAATATATATATATATATATATATATATATATATATATATATATATATATATATATATATACAAGCTGTCTTATAACTGTAAAACTGGGACCAACTGGTCAGAGGTATCTGTAATTTGGAAAATGTAGTATAACAAGCTACCATTTATCCAAAAGAAAATGTCAACAACAAAACATACATAGAGATATCCACTGGAAATTGGAAACAGAGACTATATAGTCACCGACATTCCTTCTCCAATGTTTCCTTGAGACACCAAACTGTTCCATCTAAGTATTATTGGAAGATTAAAAATAGTGGTTTCACCCCACTAATCAAATGGTAAATCATCTGTCAATCTCAAACCCTCAACAACTTCTGGGACAGATGTGATCTGTGCATACAAGAAAAAATTTCAATAATCAAATACAGAAATGCTAACCAGTTGTTAAATCAAAGAACAAAATGATTTTCAAGTGGAGACATAACAAATTTAAAATTCTCTAAAAATGTTTTTTGGGGGTGGGGGTATGCACATTTGAATTTTTGATTCATTTATATGGATGCTAGCACATATAGGTGTACATATATTCATGTGTATGTATGTATATGTGTATATGTGTTTATAATGCGTATCACATGGTTTTGTGGGGTTTTTTTGTGTGTTTCTTTATATGTAGTTGGATCTATGACTGTCTTGCTGATGTATACAGCATTTATAATTTTAAATCAAATATGTGGTGCAGTTTAATTTATATTACAATGAATCATTTATACAAAAAGTAAATTAGTAAAGTTAATGATAAAAAACAGTAAAGATGCATTAACCCACTAATTACTCAATGAATGTTATGATCCTTGTTTTTTAAAATTATAAACTATAATTAGCATTTATAATTAGCATTTATAATTAGCATTTATAATTCTAAATTAACATCTTTTGTATTATTATCCATACATCATCTTACTCAGTTTTTTATTTTTACTTTTATTGTTTATATGTATTTAAAATCCCTTCACTAATGTTTGATATTATTATCATTATTGTAATTTTTATTTATTATTTGTATTAAGGGCCCTTTTATTAAACTAATTTGGAATTGGGTTGATTTGGCCTACCTAAAATGGCAGGCCATATCAGTCAATTTGCTGATGTACAAAGTTCCACACTTTATAGGAAAAAAATTCTTGGCCAGGTCAGTCTATTTTAGGCTTACTACTATCAATTCATCTATTCTTCCTTCCTTACCCTCTATCTCATTTTTTAAAAGAGCTTGACCATCCATCACTTTCTTCTTTCTCTCCTTCTTTCTTCTCTTCTCTCTCTCTTTCTTTCCCTTCAGCCTTGTCAATCTAGTATATCAGTCCACAGAATTGTCTCCATTTACTAAAAGATTTCAGTCTGAAGAGATTGAATATAGAGATATTCACAAAATAAATTATAACTGAAATGAATCTTTAAGGTTTTCTTCTTGATTATTATTATTATAATGCTCTGTAGTTTACATTGAACTCTCCCTGGATTAATATCCTTCTTGGAATTATCCCTACCAGTCACAACTTGGTTATATATATATATATATATATATATATATATATATATATATATATATTTTTCAAAGTAGGATATAGAATCCTGATAAAGTTTTTAAGAAATAAAGAAAGAAATGTGAGTGTATTTGTGCGTGTGCTTAAATAATGAATCATAGTAATTTTTCCCTAAGCTGGCGTTTCTTGTGATTAAAGAAAGAAAATGAGTGATTTTTAAAAAAGCTGTCAATATTTATTCTGTATCTTTTCTTTATAATTCTTAGTTAATGTCGAAAGTGTTAATATATTTTCCCAGCTTTTTGTATTGAATTAAAGGCTAATCATCATCTCATTTTCAGAATGGTTCAAAAGCAAGGGATTCATACGGCATTTTCTGAAATGAATCCAAGGTAAATCCTCATACAATCCTTCAGAATGGGTTGAAAGTAAAAGATTTGTGTTTTGGTCTATACATGTGTTTTCTGTGTTGACAACATGTTTTTAAAATAGGATATAGAATAAAAGATACAGAATAAATATTTACAGCTTTATTTTTAAAAATCACTCATTTTCTTTCGTCTTTAATCATGAGAAATGCCAGCTTAGGACAAAAGTACTATGATTTGTTATTAAAGTATAAATAGAAATACACATACTCATATTTGGTTATTTTTGGGGGGGATGTGATGAAACCTTCAATGGCGAAATGTGTAATCAAATCTATTTTCAATGAAACCTTTTCCATTTGTCATATATGTATGTATATATATATATATAGTGAAAGAATTTAATCAGAAAAACATAATTAAACAGTTCAGCATGAATATTGAAATCCTTCCAAATAACAAAATTTAAGTGTCATTCAAACATACTTGAAGACTGACAAGAACAAAACATTTTACAATAATGATAGGCTTATATCAATAGTAAATGAAAATAATTCACTTTTTTTAATATTTTTTGTTTTTGTTTTTTTAAGTAATTTCAGTAAATATTAAATTAACCTTCATAAATTTCTCAGAAGTATAATCTATTGGAAAAGTTAAAACATATTGCACATATCAATTAATTCAAATGAACTCTGTATAGCATTTTCATACATTTGTTTTTAAACACTAACTCTAGATAAGCATGACATACATCTTTCTCTATTGGAAAGTAGACTGCAAAACTGCAATAATAGAATCTGGAACTTATTATTATTGCAAAATACATGATTATTAACATCTACTCATAAGATGATAAGTTTTTGAAATTTTAAATAATTTTAAGAAGCTGGAGACATTTTATATAATATCATGTGCATTTATTTGTTTTCAACAGCTACAGCCTGTGCAACTGTAAGGAAAGATACTATTTTTGTTTCATTGTCTTGCTTATACTGTTAAATGATAAAAAAAACTGTTTTTTTGAATTAAAAATATAACATCTCTATATTTATTTATAGGGTTACACCCACATCACATTGAAACACTGGTTCCTGTATGATCACTGATAGTTAAGCAATGTCAAGTCTGGTCAGTACCTAGATTGGTGACTGTTTGGGAATACCAGGTGCTGTAGGCTTGGATTTGCAGGTGGTGTAATGGATAATGGCTTGGAATTGTTAATCAGAGAGCCAAGTTTCAATTTCTATCCAGTTTATATTCACTTACATGCAAATACCCTTTGGAAAGGTATGAATTCACCTCTTCTCCCACCAGCTATGGGTTAATTAGTAAGACTTGTATCACTAAAATATTATTATCTCAAAAAAATTAAATTCCTACAATCAAAAAATATTTTCTGGCTTTAAATAATCTGCAAATGGTTGATAAGCTGTGGAAATGACAGAATGAATCAATATATTTACTTATGTACACTATACATATCTGCATACACCAATTATATATCTGTATATGGATATATATATATATAGATAGAAAGATTTAATATGAACATTGTATGTAAATGTCAAAGTTCCTGCTTACCAGTGTGCTATCATGATAACAGTGTGGATAAGTTCCATCAAATGTAAAATAAATTTTCACATTTGATTCTTTGCTGTTTTTCATTGGACATTCAAGCCATAAGATTTTATGTTGTTTATACTCTTGACTGTTGTCTTCTTTTAATCTTGGAATAGCCAGCTTAGGTGCTAAAACATTAAAACAGGGAAGATGGAAAAACAACATTAAAAAACATTTATCAAAATAGAATAAAAAAATAAGAAATAAAAGGTTACAGTAAAGTTACTTTAAATGTAAACAATTTAATATAATCTATTAATGTAAATGAAAGTTAAGATCTTAAAGAATGATTAAGTGATTTATATATATATATATATATATATATATATATATATAGAGAGAGAGAGAGAGAGAGAGAGAGAGAGAGATGTGTGACAAAGTGGAAAAAGTTTACTTGTGACATGCTTCATCCTTCAAGACTTCACTGGACTAAATTTGCTATGTTGTTAGGACTACACATGCTTACAGCAGAGGGGTGTTAGGAATTTTAGAAATTTTTTCAGCTAAATTCATCTTTTTCTTGCCATCACTTTTCTAAGTAGGTATTCCACACTGAATATCACAATGTGTAGTTGGTCTGATGAGACAGGTAGGTATATATATATATATATGGACATACTGCATCATATATACAGAAGATGTTAAATTTTGAAATATTAAAAAAAAACACTTTTCATATTAGTTAAGCAAAGAATAACTTTTACAAGTTTTTGAAATTACCAACATTATTTTCTTTAATTGTATTAAAGAAATGGTTCCATTTATCATTGAATAATGTAACAGTTTAATCAGTCAAAGAGAAACTTACCATTTTTCATAACTTTTATATGACATGAATAACCAATTGCACCTTGGGAAACTACTGTAAAATCTCCTTCACAGTGAAAACTATAAGTATATTGACTATTGCAAACAGGTTTCCCACTTGTGAAAGAATTTTTACCATTTATGACACCAGAAATTTCCTGAAGAAAGAAAATATATTTATTAAAAACTATTTTTTATGAAACACAAATACATTATCTAAGATAGAAATCTTGGGTGTGTTTTTGATGATTGAACAATCACATTTTTGTTTTTGTTAAACTTAGTTATATTCTTTCTTTGAATTGAATACTTTTATGTAGTGTGAATATCTAATGTGAATTATTCTTATTCTTATTGTTTTGATCAGTGGGCTATCTAGTTTTTCTTTGATATCTGCCACAGCTTGTTATCTTTTATTGAATAGTTGAATGAAGACAACTCTCATTGCCACTGTTATATCACCTCTTGTCACTTTTGTTCAGCTAGGACCAGTAGTTAAGTGTTCAATTTGGTGGACTAAATCAGTCATTGTAGTTTACACAGTGGGAAAAAAGAGTTATGATTAAAGGAACCAGATATTTTTGTTATTGTCTCAAGACAAGTTCACAGAATAAAGTTGGTGTCCTGTCCATATCAAGAACAGTTCATTACAACCTGCACCACATTATAATAATTTCCATTTTTATGTTCATTTTAAGAAAGGTAAAAATGTGATTCAGATGCAGAAACAATTTGTGCAGTTTAGAGAGGAAGTACTGTAAAAGATTTGATGTGTAAAAAGTGGTTTCTGAAGTTTTGTTCACAAGATGTTTCATTATATGATGTTCCAAGTCAGAGAAACCTGTTAAGGTTGATAGGAATAAAAAAAAAACATGTCACTTGAGAATAACCAATGTTATACAACAATGTGGGAGATAAAACTTGCCATTTTAGACCTAAACAAATTTTATTACCACCCAAAATTTCTTTCCAACAAATATAAATTACAGTGAGATTTGAACATATTTTTTGAGCCCATCTCAATATGACAATATCTTATTCATGGCTGATGCTAACCTCCAGGAAAGCAACATGTTTCACCTTCTCAGGCAAACATTCTCAGCTGACATGAAGTGGAAAGGCTATATCAAATCCATTGCTAGGTTTGCTGCTAAGAAAGTTGGTTTACTGTGTCATGCAAGACAATTTTTCTCTCCAGAATCTAACTTACATATCTATAAGTCTACCATTCACACATGCTTAGAATATTGCTACCACAAATGGTTTGGTGCCTCTACTATTTATCTTGAGCTCCTTGATATAATCCAAAGAAGAATCAGCAATATTATTGGTTCTGATCTGGCAGCTCAGTTTCAGTCATTTTCCCATTACTCCTCTGTGTCTTTTCTATAAATACTTTCATAGTAATTATTTGGATGAGCTCTTCACTATGGTACCTAGGCTTGTTAAATTTAAGTACAATACTGGACTGGTGTTGAGATCTCATCAATTTACAGTTGAGTTGGCTTGATGTAACCATAAATTCTATGCTAACAGTTTCTTTTCTCACACTTCTCACTTCCAGGTCCATGCTTTCGAGCCAACTTTAATCTACAGTACCTCCCTCATTGCACTAAAAAGAAGCTCAAGTAGTATTACTCTTCTTTTCTTTAGTGTCTTTTCCCTTCTTTCCACACAATCAAAACAGAATAGTCCATTATTTATGAGGTAGTGGCAAGGTGTAACAATCACATGAACTCATGAAGGGAAGAACAAGCATGTTTATTATATGATACTTTGTGTAAGGAATTCAATAATTATTACATTTAATACTTCTATGGTACCATAGCAGAAATCAGAAAAGGAAAAATAATTTTCTCCTTTTTTCTTGGGTTAATTTTTCATCTACAACTTTATTTTTAATTTTATATAATCAAAAATGTATTATGATGCATGACTAATATGATACTAGAATAGTAAGATTTCTTTTGGTGGAAGGAAACAATATGTGTTTGTGTCACAAAAAAGATTAGCTAAAGTGAAAATAATTAATGCAAGACCAGCTCTTTTGGATATCCCCACGATTTTAGCTGTAGGCCTCATTATTACTTCAATTTTATATTGCATGTGTTTTTCATTTTATTACTTTGTTACATTATAATATATAAGATGCAAATAAGCAGATTAATCTTTAAAATTTGGAATTTTTACAACTAAAGATGATTTTCTTTCTAGTGTGAAAGCAATAAATGAAAAATATTGTGTGCATGAAAAGATTCTTACAGTATCATTTGAATAATTCACATGAACAATATTATGAGATTCAGTCCATTTCCACATAATGCACTGACCCTGAAAAATAAAAAAATAAAAATTATTGTAAAATAAATTTGTGATATTACTTGTGAAGAAAATTTCATTTTCCCCAAATTTAATACCTGAGGAAGACAAGCAACAAAAATAAATTATTCTAATTTTCATAACAATCATTAAAATAACAAAAACTGAAATAATATTGTACAAAATTGATTTGACATGATATATTATTTCAGATATGGTTTTATTACTTTTTATATTTGTGAAATAGAAAAAAATATAACAGATTAAAAACGTACCTTTTCGATAACAATATTTGAAGGATAGAAACCATTTTTATCAACATGTATCAGAATACCATCTTCCACTATATCTGCAACAACAGAACTCAATCGAATTTCACTGTCTTTGTCACCCTGCAACATTAGGTTAACATTAATAATTATATGAAATAATCTTTACACAAAATTTAATAAATTTTAAATGTATATAAATAAATATATAAAATCTGAAATACATAAAAATAATGTGTGAGCACAAATAAGGAGCACATTCTAGCAGATGTACAGGTGATGTAATGGATACCATGTTGGAATGAAAAATTGGAGAGTCAAATTTTGTTACACTTACTTTCATGTAAATATTCTTCAAAGAGTGAAAAAATTGAAGGAAGCAGCATTCAGGAAGTAATGCCTCCATTGTGAGAATTCATTTTTTTTTAACTTAGCTGACTAAAGAGAACATACGACTTTTAACTTACGACACAAGTGATAAAAAGATTTCAAAATTAAGATAATTTTTAAAGTTTCTTTTTTCAATTGTAGCCTTATCCATTCCTTTTCTCTCACCATTTGGTTGTAATAAAAGCCAAAGAAAAAAGAGCTAAAGACACAAAAAAATCTATAAAGAGTGGAAATTCAGAAATTCATACTTTTGATAAGGACAAGAGATTAAGGGGAGGAAAACACTTGAATTAGATGTAGTAGAGAAATATAAGAGATATCTTTTGCAAATATGTCTAATTTTGTCTCCAATGAAATACAGGAGTCCCTGCAATTTCTGATAAAAACCAACTAAATAAGAACTCATCTGTAGAAACCAGTGACTAAAATCTAATACAATTAAATGAGTACATATTTATAATACTGACAAAATACATAAACAAACATTAATATTATATGTAATACTAGATTTAGATCTCACCTTTTGTTTTAAGAAAGACTTTGAAGCAAAATGCATCAGTCCTGATTTATGTACCACTTTAGCAACACATCGCCTTTAAAAGAAAAAAAAAGATATATTTAATCTTGAATATATTGAAATATAGAATATAACAAGTCATCACTTATACAATTAGTACTAAACATCATATTTCTAATATTACAAGCTTCATACAGTTGCATTAATACCAACAGTTAAAGGACTGAATTGTTTAAAAGGAAAGTTGTTCTGT